GAGGGAACCGATAGGATTTATAATAGCCGGGTGAATCGGCCGATCACACCATAATTCATTGGTTCGCGCATCGACGATTGCTCGCGAAATGGCGGATATTAACCGAGGCCGACTCATCGACAGGGGATGGAGAGGACACGGGGTATGCTTTTCTGCATATGAAAAGACAGGTTAATCGGCGCACCTGTAATTTCTTAAAAAGGAAATCTACTGTGACACGCGATTTTATCAAATGAATTTGTCTTAAGGTCTTGATGAAAGATTTTTATGCTGAACATTTCTCTGGTATGTTTATTAGATCGTGAACTATAAATAAAAATTTTGTTCAGTTGGAAATATGAAATAAAGATGAGATGCTGCTGCCCATGAAAATCGATCACATCGAAAAAAAATTGCTGATCCTGGTCGTTCTGCTCATTTGAAATAACAAAACTAAAAGGATTCTTGAATTACTCGGACATGGCTATCACAGGTACCATATTTGGATTGAAATATTACAAATTTTTCAAATGGCTACAATTTGAAAATGAAGTATCGATTTTTGTGGTTTTTTTCATTGTTTTCGCGATCGTTTAGATTATTTCGAGTTTCCTTTTTTCAATTTCTAACTATAAAAAACGAACCGAACGAGCAGGTCCGTTTAAATCCTTCTATCGTGTCGATGGATAGATCGATCTAGCGGGCGGAATAACGATTTTCGAATCCACAACAAGTCGTATAAACCGCGAAACGTTCGAACAGCCCTGCTTGTCCTCTGTGGCGAATTTCGGAGATTAAAAATTCAATTTAAAACTCACCGTAAATAAAATCGTCAGCTTTCGTCCTGCGCCCGGTGAGGGAGAGGAGTCTCGTGAAAAATTCATCTCGAACGCTCGCGACAACTGACAATTTCGTGGGCGTACATTTACCAATGGAACATCTTCGGTTCTGAAATGGAATTTCATTGTCAATCATGATCTAGGGACGTTCGATTCACTTCAAAGAATCGATTCTTTAATGGATTGTCGAATGGAATCATTAGAATCGATTCTCTTAAAAAATCGATACCAAAGTAAAAAAACTCCCAAATTCGAAAAATATATATCAAATACAGTTACGTTGAGAAACCTTCCTTAGTAACGGAAACAAAAATTTAAGAAAAGGGTAAGGAATCGATCGTCAGGAAAATCGAATACCAGAGAATCGATTCAAACCAGCATGATCGATGAAGTTTTTATGAAAACAGGTCACACGGTAACCGACACACCCGTTGCTACTGGGGGAATGGTTTTGATTGATAGAGGACGCGCGAATTTGAAATTCCGCCCGAACGTGAAAAACACAGGCCTCGAACGACGTGGCTTTTTCCGAGGTATGCAAACTGGCTGGCCCTACCACACGCACAGTATCACGTGAGAGGGGAGGGGCACGTATGTCCACGTCAAACTCTTTCCGACTGTGCCACGTCCTGGAACAAGGCACGTAGAAGGTCTGTTCCGGTCGGTGTTTCCAAAGGACAGTGCTCCCAGTTCGCCTGCTGTCATCCTGGTTAACCACGCTCCTCCGAAATTCACCCTCTCCGTTCCCACCCCCACCAACCCCTTCCTCCACCGTCTTCACCGCCCATCTCCTCTACATAGTATACATAGAAGGCTATATAAACTCTTTACTTTCGCCTTATGCATATCTAATGTCCTCGTTGGTCGGAATATTTACAAGTCAAATGCGATCGATCGGCAACCGCGTTAGAACGATCGGATGAAACCGGCACACGAGACGACGCTGTGGTCTGAAAAATGAAGAGAACTGGACGCAAAAATGCTACGCCTGCGTGTGCAGACCAAGGGGCTAGAAATGGGGGAAAACGGAAAGAAATAGGGGATGTAGGAAGGATGAAACGGGGGAAAAGGATGAAACTGAAAGAAATAGGAGGTATAGGAAGGATGAAACGAAAGAAACGGAACGCGTGAGACTGCGAAAAATTCTGGGATCGTCTTTAGGTTGTCTTGATGCGGTTCACCGCGAAAGAGCCAGGCACAAAAGAATCACGTGGCCCCCCTCCTTGGCCCTTGGACGATAAAGTCTGGGGGCGAAGTGAAGTACACCCTGGTCCCCATACGAGTTTTCCTGTTCGCAAGCGGAGACTTCAAAAAGTTTCCCCCGTGTCGAGGAGAATGGCCCTCTCGCACGGGCCATGCATGTGGAAAGGCTCTCTCCACGCGACTCCACCAGAGGAGGACCCCGTCACGGAGGGGCAAGTCTCGATTCCAACGGCGAAATAAATTCTCGCGACCCTGCCCATTTATTTCTTCTTCGACGATACTCGCCATTCCACGAACGGCGAAGAATTAATGGACTGGACGAGTCTTTCTTTGAGGTGTTGGACTTATCTCCGAATTCTGTGTTGTTTGCAGGGGGAATGTAGTCTTAAACGATATAATTTGTCGGAGAATTGGTTGTTCACTGTTATATGGAAATTGGGAGGGGATGATAAACGTACCTCGAAATCCACTAAAGCTGAAGACAGTGAAATTTAGAAATTAGGTTCTTCATAGAAACCCGCATATAATGATTTTTTTAAATTCAACTCCGAAAGGGATAAAGATAATATTGGAAGCTAACGCGTGCATAACCGCGTGAAACGACTAGTTATTGAAATAATTGATTACAGTTACACCGGACTATACTGTATTTACGTCCCGAAGGAACGGTCGTCTCGTACTGTTGTCGATTCACCAAAGTTTAATACGATTTTCCCGTAATTATTTTTCGCTCGTTTTTTTCCCCCCAGCGAAGGGGATTTGATCGGCTCGCACCAGGAGATTATTGCGCGTTGTTGCGTCGCTGTACAACGGGGATTTGCATTATCTTTGAATCACGTTATTTATTGCGTTCGCGTAAGCCGTTCGTCTCGACAAATTGTACCTATAGAAAAAAAAACTAATCGTAAAATACATCCTTAATCGACAGCGAATGGTGTCCGCTCGATAATCGGTTTCCGACGGGAAACTGAAAAAAATTACGTTATCGACGGCTGTCTAGCTCACAACGAACAATCGTCACTCGAGATTTTCAACGAATGTGGACTGGTAGAAAAAGAACAACCATTTACCAATCATTTCGATCGTGAAAAAATAGTTGCGTCGCCCAATAAGGAATATTTATAGCTGTAGGTTGTCACTTTCGATTCGATCGCTTCAGAGGGATGGGCAAGCACGCGACATGTTGTTCTCGTTATAAATATTTGATAACGGTAGACCCCGAAAACTGATTTACGGTGAGGCGTGGTGGTGGCGCCTCCTCTCTGCTGGATAAACGCAGTTTGTCGATGGTGTACAGACGTCAACGATAATTGAATTTCTCGAACGTTCGCTTATATCGAGCCTGCGAGGAATTGACATTATTATAATGTTCGAGGGTCCTCCCTGGCGTGTGAAATCGATTTACTCGTGTGTACAACCACCCTATCCCGCCATCCTCCCTTCTTTTCCACCGATCCTCTTCGTCACACTCACCAAAAGAAAATACAGCTCCAGGGCCTGTCGTCCTCCCGCGGCGTTCGTCCTTTTCCTTCGGAGTTTTCAAATAAATTCAAATAGCAAGAACGTCGTCGTTGTCGTTGCCATCGTGGTAGTCGGAGGCACCGCCCGTTCCCCCGACCCCGTCTTCTTGCGTTCTATCCCGGAGGGAGATACGAAATGAATTGTACAAGCCGCCACCCCGGGCGGAAAGAGTAATTTGATGCACAACCTTGGACTCCGTGGACCCGACGATAATAAAAGGGGTAAAGTGTGCTCTCGGCGTCGTGTTGTATTAATTTAACTTCAGCAACGCGCTCGCCCACCGACGAGCAAGGGAGGGGAGGAGAAGGAACAACAGAGAGGAGTTTTAGGGATGGGGGGGATGTCGGGGGGATGGGACACCAGAACGATATTGAGTTAAATTACCAACAGTTCGCGCTCAGGGAGGCCTCCGTCTCCGAGATTAACGAAACAGGCCAAGAAGTATAAAGAAAACTAGCCGGGCGGGAGACGACGTAAAAAACATGGTAAAAAGGAGGAAATCGGGCAAACTGAGGGACGAACGCCACAAAAAAAGATGGCGGCGGATCCCCCGCTACGGGAAATATTACACAGAGGCTCGCGCGCTTCGGACTTCGCCCAGATAACAGGGAAAGTTGAGTTCTCTCTTGTTGATCGTATTGCCCGACCTCGCGAACTATCCTCCCGACCCATCCGAGGTTGCACGACTTTGTTTTGCGTAAACATTGCCAGTTAAAAATGTTTTTAATTAAAGTTCCGGCGTAATACTCTACAGATCTGCGGGCCGATTAGAGGGAATTTCGTTCGATAACGGGGTACGGTTGGCGGAAATACTAATTGACGGGAACACGTGGGCTCGACGATATGGCTGCTGTTAGTACGGTGGTTAAATATGATGTTTTGTAAATATTTGTTCGTTATTCATAGGCAACTATACTTCTTACGGGGGATGTACCCACGATTACTATTACTTCCTCTCGTAGCTTTTTTCTTCGAGTTACTTGGCCTGGTCCTCGTTGAACTAAATTCCCCAGTGTTCTTCGAACGTACAGTGGGTGATCAAATTATTATGGACAGATGCACAAACTACATATTTTATGTTTTCGCTGTTATTATGATTGCAATAATAATGAAATGTTTTCTTAACATACCTACGCATGACAGAATAACGTCATTTCTTAGGAAAAAACTGTCAAATTAGCACAAAGGACGGATAAGTGTTGAAAAATATGAATGTCGATACACAAATGTATGGAATGATTCAAAGTCCCTTACCACGTAGTATTCAAATTCAGGTAACAACTGTCGCCATCTATCCAAGCTTATAATATCAAAAAAAAAAAAAAACAATCGACGATCATCGGTGTTAAGGTCGTATATAGTATCGAACAAAGTTGCACCAGCAAATGTTTCCAAACACCCTCGCCTCACAGCTTTAACTTCCTCTAATCTCCACGATCTTGTTCCCGATGTTCACAGAAATCCTCGGGATGGAGCTAAGAACAGCGAAACTGTTGCTTTACTCGACGCTGATGGTGGTCGTGTGCTGGAGCCAACAGGACTGGACGCAATGCGCGGCCTCGTGCAAGTGCACATGGTCGCAGGGCAAGAAGACCGCGGAATGCGCGAATCAGAATCTCACATACATCCCGCGTGGCCTGTCCACCGAGATACAGACCATCTATCTGACCGGGAATCGTATCACACACCTGATATACGATTCCTTCAGCAGGGTTCAGCTGGTGAATCTCCATAAACTGGTATTGAAGAACTGCGAGATCGAGTCTATCGACACGGACGCGTTCAACGGCTTGAAGATCGTGATCGAGATCGATCTGTCGGCGAACAACATTCGTACTCTGTATCCTGGCACGTTCAACGAGACGCAACGTTTGAGGGTACTGAATCTGAACGACAACAAGCTGAAGGTGCTGGAGAACGGTCTGTTCCGCGATCTGATCTACCTGCAGACGGTTACGTTGTCGAACAACGAACTGGAACGTATCGAGGAGAAGACGTTCCGCAATCTGCCGGGGTTACAGGTGCTAACCTTGCATAGCAACAATCTGAGCACGCTGAAGGTGCAGAGCTTCGAATTCCTGCCGAAGCTAGGCAGCCTGGAGCTGAACAATAATCCGTGGAATTGCAATTGTCATCTGAAGAGATTTCGTGATTGGGCGATCGAGAGAAAACTGTACACGAAACCAACCACGTGCCAGCAACCGGCTGCTTTGGTGGGCAAGATGTGGGACGAGATCAGCAGCGACGAGTTTGCCTGCAGACCGGACATCTCGATCGGACCGTACATGAAGATCGAGATTGGAAAGGGGAACGTCACCTTCTGGTGCCAGGCGTCGGGGATCCCGCGACCTCAGGTAAGCCTTCGGTTACGAGAGTCACGTTTATTCAATCAGGTCGAATAACGAATAAAATCGTATTCTGCTTGTGACTCAATGGACAGAAAAAGACAATCGATTTTCTCTGTTTTTCCGCCTACTGAGTCTCGTGCGAAGCGTCTCTGAGGCCGTCTCATCGTGTATGGCCTGTTTTAAAGGATCCCATGACGACCAAGTATTCTAACAAAAAGAGCAGTAAAGCGGGGAAAACGTTGACTGTCGGTGGTCCAACAGTAAATCGCGAGCAATTTAGTATGTACAATCTAGCCCGACGCGAGGGGGTTCGCTCGTCGGCTGAAAAGATTGTACCGTTTAAACTCGCGTTCGGGCAACTTAGCTGGAAACTTCTAAACGTTCTTAGCCCGGTCAACATTGTTCTCTGAGCTCGGTAGCGGAAAGAATTCTCTGTAGTTTATTCGCCGGAAGAGTTCTTTCTTCCTTTCTTTGTTTTTTCATATTTTTTTATTGTTGTTTCTGATTCTTCAAACATTTTGGTCCGATGTTTCTTTGCATAAATTTACCATGGTTTCCTCGAAAGGAGATACGTTCCCATTCAGTCCTAACTCTGGGACAAATTACAAGTCTCTGTCCCTATCTCTCGTTCTCTCTCTGTCTCTTTGCTACGTTACTCTTTTAATACGCGTGATAATTCATGTATCTTTGTACGGTAAGGTTGAAATCGTGTCGCGGAATTTTCCCGATTGAATGAAATTCTTTGATTCCACCGCGGAGAATCCGTGCAACCGGCAAAAAGGGAGATACAAGAGCCCGTCCCCCGGCTTTTGAAACGAACCGCACAAAAGGAAGACGTAGTTACGCGAGCTTTTTGCGTGTAATAATGAAAATCCTTTCAGATTTATCCCGGCACGAGGGCCGAAAATTAAGGACACCTTTAAGGTGGGCTCACACAACTCCTCTGTCCAATTTGCATTTTTGTTTTCTCTCAGTCTTCCCCCTTCTCTTACTCCTAATAGTTCAAAAATCGCTTTGCTTTACAAAAGAGAGCTTTCACGTGATTATAGCAAATTTTTTGTCAACTTTTCTTTTTTATGATTTTTCAAAGTCACCTTCAATTTTCTTTCAAAAATTCAATTCAAAAATAAAAGTAACACATGTTATGTTATTGTACTTACCGAATTCGTCTTGAAATCCTCTAACAGATAGGCGTAAAAAAATAATAGGAGTATTTACAAAAAATTGAAGGTAACCTTGAAATATCACGAAAAAAAAGAGTTGACAAAACATTTGCTATAATCACGTTAAAGCTCTCTTGAAACCATGCTATACCTGATAAAAACATTATCGATCGGACTGCTAATAACAGAGTAATCTCTACTGATCACGATTCGTGGTTCACCCTGTATAATGGGCGCCACACAAACAAAGAGTATAAAAGAAAGCAAGGAAATGGTAAATGGAACCCAGCCGTAGTGTGAGTCCATCTTTGGTACGTCCTCCATTCCCCAGGTTGTCGTTCGATGGTCGAGACAGGTTGGTTCTCGGCGTCGAACAATATCACCGTTGGCGCGTCGATTGAAAGGGCTCACGGAAAGCTTGTTTCTCCGGTTTCAGCTGTCCTGGATCCACCGGTCCCGAATCCTGAGCAACACCACGAGACGGCACAACGGCGAGAGGACGTACATCCTGAAGTCGAGCCACGACTGGCTGAACCTCACGATCCCGGACGTCACGCCCTCTGACAAGGGTGATTACGTCTGTCTGGCGAAAAGTCCAGGCGGAAATACGGAGAAAAACGTGACCCTTGCCATCGCTGGCGACGCTACAAGCGGTCAGGACGGTATAATCAGCCTACCGCTCGTCCTAGGCCTGGGCGTGACCACGTTGCTCCTGCTAATTGTCACCGGGTCCCTTAGCGTGTGCTACTGTCGTCGTCGTCGAACCAGACACGACGAGAAAAGCCTGGAGGCCGCGTCGATGGAGCATCACGGGCTGGGGGAGCAAGAGAAATCACTGATCACGACCATAAATCCTGTGGTGAAGCCGCCCAGACGGTACGAGGCGCCGTCCGTGACGTCGCACGGCACCGAGATGACGGAGCTGAACCGTACGTTGCTCGACAACGACTCGGTCTTTGGTCAGTACACAGCCTACATTACTAAACAGTGCGTGGCCAGGTGCTAGCTACTAACTATATGTTACTTCCGTCGGGCGATCACGGCGAAACGTGGAACGCCCGCGGCAGGACTGTCGACGTTGACACGGGTTCGATGGTGTTGCGTGTGAGAATAGAAACAATAGGAACAATAGTCTCGATTGCTTTATCGCGATTCGCAGACGCTGAAACTGTACAGTAATTTCATACTGAGCTTCTTTTGAATACAGTGAAGCCTCGATGAGTGTTCGAAGGCCCTTCACGAGGAAATGTCCCCAGGTGTAGTGCTGACTGTTTAATGAAGTCTAGCACAGTCATAGAGCGTGGCATTCTGAAGCCAATGATGTTTGGTTCAGCCCCATATGGTCATTAGTAGACTGCGGATATTTATGCAGATTTACAATTTTGGCTACTGATAAATAAAAAACCAAATTGAATAGAATTTTTTTTCCTGTACTAAATTTTACTACAATCATTATTCTGCTACACTTTGCAAGTCAGAGAACGCTATAAGTGCATAAACATCCGGGGTCTAGTCATTAGTTTATAAAATATTTAATATGTTCAGGAGTCTAACACTCGGCGAGGATTTACTGTAACTAGGACTTAATTGAAAATGGAAAAGACCTCGGTCACCGAAACTGATTTGAACATTTCGAGGGGACAGTTGAATGTATTTTCCATTCACCCGTACAAATTGGCTGATCGAATCGGAGGAATTGGCACACATGTTCGCGATCGAGATAAATTGTTTCGTTAAATAGTTCGGCGATTAAAAATTGCAATCGGTTCACTGTTACGATAACAAAGCCGCTGACCTGATATCGGGACGAGTACCAATCGACGAAAAATTAACGAAGCATCTGTACGATAAATTCTCGGACGAAATGCAATTTTAATGTTTTTAATGTGAGTTGGCCATCGATCCTCCGATTTCCCTTGGAAAGAATTCAACGGATCGGTATCATTGCTAGTTTCGGAGGGCAGAGGATTAATTGAATTATAATCGACGAATGCGTTTAAGACGGTCGCGTTAGAGCGTTGCGGCGTGAGGTTCGGTAATCCAAGCAGCGGATAAACGAGGCGCCATCGATCCTGGGTGAACAAGCATCGACCAAGACTGTTGTAAGATTAACGAGAGTGTACAACACGTAATGAGAAGAAAGAGGAGAAAGGCATTCGTCATTTGTGTCTCTGGCAGCGAGATAGCGGTTTTTCCTCGTTCGCAAACACCCTAGATTCTCGAAGAAAACCGGCGGGGTCTGTGTGCGATATCAGACGTCGTTAATTAGACGACAACCGTATCCGATCGCGTTGAACAGTGCTGCAAAATCCCCAAAAAAGTGGCAAAAATTCGTTCTCCTATTGAAACGATCGTATTAAAAAATTTATGCGGCAATATTAATATAATTTTTGTAAGCAGTGAATCGCTAAAATAATTTATAAAACGCTATCCGAATGATGCCCTTTATTTTTTTTAAAGAACCAGATGATCAATGACATAATAATAAAATTGTGTATTCTACTGAGGAAATGATTTGTTTCTACTATGATTAATTTCTACTACCAAATCATTTCCAGAATTTTGGCCACGTTCTGGGTATTTTGCACCACTGCGCGTCGTATCCACTGGAAACGCGACGTTTTCGCGAATTATTTTAATAGAGGTGTAAATACGCGAGGTAAACTAGTGGCTGTAAATTATACGTCGCCGCAAAGCGTGTTCGATAAGATTGAATTATTTTTGTCTTAACGTCTTATGATCGTTGCGCATAATCCTCTTACGATCGATCATTCGAAGGACAGGTACCGAAACGAGAGTGCGTATACAGCAGGGTAAAGGAAGCAAAACCTTTAGGTACCTGTGTGATGAAACAGGGACCGGAAGTGCCGCGAAGATGCTGTTAATTGAAACGATAGTCGCCACCGTGAATAACGCAAATATAGAAAACAATAGGGGGCCGAAGTACTCCAGGATTGTAAGCGTAAAGTGGTAATTAAAATGATAAGAGAAAGAAGGGGGTGGGGAAAATGCGCGTTACACATGGGGTTTGAGTTCGGGGCAGAAGACAAAGGGAGAAGCAATAATCGTTAGGGTACTCTCGGCTGAATTAGCGACTTGTTTTTATTGAAAACGATACGGTCAATTCTGTGGTCCTGTGCACGCGTGTATCCTCCGACCCTTGCCGCAAGTCCTTGTCTACGCAGTTCAAAGATGGTAATTGAAATTATTGTCGAGGTTCTCGCATCCGAATAGATCTTCCGCATCTCGACTACCTTCTCGTAACCCTTTGTATCCGTTGCGGAAGGTTGATCTCGAGCGACCCTTTTTCCTTTCGACCTACTTTCTCCGCTGACTTGCTATTGAACAGTATTCGAATACTTGAAGAACACAGGCCACAAGGTGGAGAAGAACTGTCCTCGTTGTGCCGTTCGCGCTAGGACAGATTCTGGCGTCGATCAAAGATTGCCAGCGAAGTTTTTCGACTGCGAGACGAAACGTCGATAAAAACCAACGGGTGCATCGACGTCGGCCTGTATTTCAATTTGCTTGACAGACTCGTTACGACACGAATCGCGCACCCCCTCCCACGCCGTTTAAATTATAAACTCGAACGTGCATTCGACGAACTACGGGTAAAAGTCCGACCCACTTTTCTCACGGATGGAATTTTATCTCGTCGGGCACGATCGATTTACGTGTTTCTTCGCGAAACAAGCCGCGACAACTATTGTACATTATGTAATGCTTTCTGATGTCGATAGACGCTTGTATCAGTCGCTCCTATCGATGCTGATGAGCGATGGAGGATTTAGGATGTGCCTGGCATTATGCTCTTTTATCGACGAGGATGAACCCCAACATCGTCTACTTAACCATTTATCAAGTACCACTGGTGCTTCGCCTCGAATGGGTTAAGGGACGTCTCGTGTCCGGTCAAAAAAATCGAATTTTTTTTATTGCTTAAATCAACTCTGACGCATGTAGAGAATGTGTCCCTAAAATTACAGATCGATATTTATTGCACAATGAAACTCAAATTTCTTGTGGTAAAATTTCAACTTTTTTTCTAAGTGCCACCATTTCTTTAATTCACATGTTTTTCTTGCTCGACGAGGTTCATTCGGTGCGTATTTGCATAAAATTAATAAAAATTCTTGGTTTTTCTATTTCATACAATTACAATGGATGCGAGAATGTACACCGTTTGAGGTCTACGTCACCGAAGCCGCTAGAGATGACGTCCATATATATATATATATATAAATTTTTTTAACAACAAAATTTTTTTGTATTCTAGAAGTGTGTGTTAAAATACTGGTAAATGCTCAGATGGTTTGACTAAATCTGTCTTGTTTAAAAAAAATTCCTAAGAACCTGGTTTTTTTCCGTTTACACGAGACGCCCCCCTTAAGACGGGGACTCAAGTGATGCTCGTCGTGTTTCAACTTATTAAGTCGCATTTGAACCAATTCGGACAACACGCAGGTGGTTCATTCGCCGCTACAATTCGGAGAGTGAATGATCTACTTCCATCAGGTTCAGAAACCGAAAGGCATTTTATCATATCCATACCAGAAGGATATTTTCAACCAAACCCTAGCATTAAGTGGTTAAAAGATTCCAAGGGCTTAATCGTGCACAGCTCGAACCAAAATAACAATAGATACAACACACAGGCCCGATTCCTCTTTCAAGACCCAGACACAAAACCCCACAAACCCGGTGATACATAATCAAACTAACCCCCCACACGCAACACCTCCGCAACAATCGTCGAACCGCGCGCTTATTTTTTTTTTTCTGTTATTTAATTATTGCGCGTCTAACAACACTTTTCTGTTTTTAACGTTCGTCCCTCTTTTTTTTGTTCATGTTCCCGGCAGCTGATGGTATCGGTGGCGGTGTCGGCGGCGGAGTGATCGGCGGCGTCGGAGACGACGAGAGGGAAGAACGAGCTACCCCGGAACTCGAGAGCGGTACCGGCACCCTGTGCCGCGGTGGAGGCGGTAGCTACCGTCAATATCCACCTGACCTTTTGGCGTTCTCCGGTGGTCGTGGCGCGTCGCCTACCAGTCAAGCATCCACCGCACCGGACAACACACGTCTACCGAGTCAACACACGGCGACACCCACCACCACAGCCGCGTACGGTTCACCCTCGAATCAATACCCGGCCGCGTTCAAGACCTTGCCCCACAATCGAAGCGTCACGCCTTACGGTGTCACGGCTAGCTCGACGATCGCGCCTGTGATGCCGCGACACGGATACGTCACGATACCACGAAGACCAAGAGCGCCCAGCTGGAGCAGTGGACCGCCCACATCGCCCACAGACGGATTGGAACCAGTCTACGACAATCTAGGGCTGCGCACCACCGCGGACGGCAGCTCGGTGCTCTCCCTGAACAAAAGTCCCGAGCCATTAGCCTCGATGAGGAATCGACCTCTGCCTGGTACGCCAAGCTCCCACTACGGCACGATACAACGAAGCACACCGAACATATTGGCCAGCAGCCCCCTCGACAGGTCTGCTCCTGAAGGCGCGGCCGAGTGGCCAACGAAATTAGCCGACGAGTCCACGGACAGTAATCATATTCTAGGACAACAACCGCAACAACAATCGAGCAGCAACACCCTAGGCAGAAAAGTACCGCCCAGGCCACCACCGAAACCCAAGAAGAAGTCCGCCAACGGACCTCTGTACGAGGACGAGGGCGAAGACGGCACCGAGGTATGATCAGCGTACATCGGTCGACGAAGCTGAGGCCGCGAGGTCGTGGCCGTGCTGAGACGAACAGATGCATGACCGCAGTCACAATAAACCGGTAGTGCCTTTTTGATGATGAGACGGCCCCCGCTGCGGGTCGATATTCGGTTCAAGTAAGTTCGCCCGTCGAACATCCGCCGACGGGACGAACGTTGTGCGGAGAGGGGCTTCCACATCCGGTGAAACAGAGGTCGTCGGGTGAACTGACTACCAGGAACCAGCGAACTTTCTTTCGGACGCCCTTCGTCCTGGTGTCGTTCTTTTTTTTTCCCCCCTCTCGGGTTTTCGTTTTCTCTCCTTGTGTTTTTTTATAATTTATTTATCGTCGCGCTGTGTGCCGAGATTCAACCGTCGAAGACGGTACACAAGTGTATTCACGGAACTGAACGGATTTATCGGTGATGTTCCGCGGTCGAAGGGATTGAACGTGTGTCCTTTGGTTCGTTACCTTTTTTGAGGCGTTCCTCGAGACACTCGACGACGATGATGACGGACGTATTACACACTTGTGCTGGTCTCCGTTTGTTATGGTATTATCGATATATTACAGTGTCGAGGAAATCGTACACTGACCGTGTAAAGTACGTACAGCGCAAGGGGACACTAGTGTTTAAGGATAAATGTCCCTTCGGGGACGATTCGTCTTATTTATTGACGTGCTTGTTGCATGCCTAATGAAGAACACGTTGAAGCGCATGCCGTGGATAACAATAACGTTTTATACGATCTCCTCGTAACGCGGTGGTGCGATCGGGTACCTCCTAATCTTGCTTCCTTCTTTTACTCGGGACTTTTACGCCCCTGCGCGTGTATTAGGCGGGAATAATTTTTATCGCGATACTTGGAGGTTTATTGGTTGCTTTTATCCTCCGCCGAACCTCCGGGCCGCATCCTTCGAGACGGGGGCGATTCTTTATTGTTTCCTGTCTATATGTGTTTTCGTTTTTACCGTTAATTTTACTGGGTAAGATCGTCGTCGATTAATGTAATCGCCTATCGTTCTAACGACAATTGTAAATCGGGTTTAAGACAACGGGCCATGCTGGCGGCTCGGTACGTAAGAGCATTAACGAATAACAGAGACGTTTAGAGTAACTATTTCTAGTAAGTTTAAAGAAGTGTGTAAAAAAAAAAAGAGTACCTACTCCCGATCGTATTCTGTTTCTTAAAACGGTAATCACGCCGAAACGTTCCGGTGCGAGTTTCCCGAGATCACACACACACCTATTCACAATGGGAACACATAGACTCTCTATGGTCACGATGGCACCTCCGTTGCGTCGATGCAATGATAAATACTGCATCGTGACCAAATTGTATTTTACCCGCGTACGCTCTGTCTCTCGCGGATCGTGAAACTTGACGGCGCCATTTTGGTTCCGCGGGAAAAGAGAGGCGCTTCTGGACGTGTTGCCGAACGGTTGTAAAAAAAGAAGTACAGTCTTGTACATAATGTGTATTATATCTAAGAAATAGTTTATCTCCTAATAACTCGATCCAATTGATCTTGGAAGCCATGCAAAATGGTTTTATCTGAAGGAAAACATAGCAGAGGCGAAATAAGAACAAGTCGATCTCTGTGAATAATAGAGATGCAACGATGAGAACGAACGATTGGCCCAATTGTAATGAAGTGAACGCCATTGTATACGTAACGAATAGGATGGAATTTTTCGTCACGATTTACCACGATTTTAACACGGACTTTACAATGCGTGATCAATTTCGAACTGAATATTCCTCTTAATTTAAGTCTTTCTTTAGAGAGACTATTTACCTTTGAATACACTTTTTTCCCCATGTTTTTTTGGTGTTGATGCTCTTTATAATTATTTAATAAAACGATTTTTGCTATTTCTCTGGGCGATCGACCACAGCGATACAAAGAAACGTTTTTCGATCGGATAGCTAATATGTTATGTCAATGCTATTCTGACAGGTCGGTACCAGCACCGGAAGGATCGTTTCTCAACTACAGAATTTATCGCACGTAAGCCACGAACTTGTTACAGTTTCGGTGCGTTTTATCCGGAGCTTAACGTTGCATTCCCACCGTTACCAGAGGGTTTTCGGAATCGATCGTGTACAACTTGTTGCGAGCAGAGAAGAATCCTTGGCTATATAACACTATTCGAATCCAGTCGACTGTACACTGTAAGGGATACTCCAAATTGACGATTCTTTTCGGAACATTAACACGCTTCGTCTATTTCTTCCGATTCGGGAAATACATCCTGCTCAAAACGACCAGGGAATTACTCTGCTACAGCAAATTCGCCGATACTCTATAACCAACATGTTGTAAGCTACAGACACATGCAATTTAAGGTAGACATTCGGTAAAACTACCGAATTAAATGTACACTCACGAGCTCCCCTTCAGACGAAAAAAGTCCACGCTTCTTCGAAGTACTCACCGATCGACAACATCGACCCTCTAACCATTGAAAGAACACGGATCGAACGTTGACGAGGCATCTTCCCCGACGATCGTAACCCACTCTAACAGTATTACGAACGCAAAAAAAAACCCGAATACGATGACGCGGCCGCAGCCGGAGAGACGACGACGCGGAGAAACTCGCGACGCAGTCGTGTAACATCGTTTCCTCGACTACATTCGAAAAACAGTCTTAACAAGCGCGCCCACTATCGGTAACAACAACTGGAACGATAATCGTGAGAAAATGCATGTATAAAGTATACACAAGGGAAGGATTCCAACTGTTCGACTTCGATTCTAACCGGGTTTTGTAAGATGACAGTATACAGGTTCCTAATTATACATGTGAAATATTAGATGTAGACATTTACTAATTTTAAAGATATAAACAATCAATGTTACGTACCTTTAAGATATATTACGAATATAAGTCAAAGTTATCGAAGTACAGTATTCCGTCGATTACTGTCTGACTGATTCTACACGATTTTGTCAGGGCGTCATCCCCACCACTGAGGGGGTGGGGCGTAGAACCTGTCAAGTGCATACTTTGTTGCCCCCCCCCCCTTTTGTTGCCGAGGCTCAGGCTTCGAGCAAAAAACAAATTGACGATGGTCTAAAACATTTCTCCTGTTCGATGCTTGCGTTGTTGACAATAATCGACGGAACACTGAATAAGGTTGTTAGAAATCTTTTTATTTTACTTTCTCAACGGAACTTCGATAACTTTGACTTATATTTCACATATATCATTACAAACCTATATACTATTATTTTACAAAACCCTGTTGAAATTGAAATCGGACAGTTGGGCCCATTTCCCTTGTTAACAGGCAATGTCGACGGAACAATTGGGTCCGCGAAACAAGTGCCAATCGACAACCTACTTCTTCCTCGATCGGAAACGGAGGATCGTGGACGCTTTCTGGTATCTTACGACGAAGGGGGCCAGGATCGAGGCTACACGACCGGAGTGGAATCGTCGCGAATTATTTTAAGCGGCCTAGCAGAGTCGCGGCTCGTCCGATCCAATCGTTGTGCCTCGCCCTGTACATACACGGACCGTAATATCGCACATCGCTAATTCACCGACGTTGTTTAATATGTAAATCTGCCGACAGACACGTTGAGAGCAGCGGGGCACGACCGGTTGGTACGGCGCCACGAGTATATTTTTGTAATTTTGTATTTTGATGGGTTCTCCGGGTACACGTCCAGGTCACACGGCGACCGCGGGGCGGCCTGGGGAAGACGGCCTCGTCGCTTTCGCCTCCCTCTAGACAGGGGTGGGGATCAATCGACTCCCAGGGAATTTAACTAGATCCTCTACAGCGCGCCATCCGGCTCGTGCGACAACACGAGGCAGTAAAATATAATTGAACGGTCGTTAAGATCTCGAACGGGTACTTCTGGATTCTCTTCTAAACCCGAGTTCCCCGGTGTTGGTACACCTCCGCGTTGATTTCTCGGATCGCGGCGATACTCACCTCCAGCCGGGGGTATCTCTGTTGGTTTTACGGTAAACGCTTCGAATTGAGACGCGGGGATGTTGAGATGAGTCACGAGGTTTTGTGGTCTGTATTCATTGAATGGAATATGGAAATTTTGGAGGAAAATTCACGTAAACACGACGGTGGGTGGCATGAATTTTATAGGCAGAAATATTATTTAAATTCGTCTTCTGATGTGTAACCATCAGCTGGAATCTCTTTCGTTGAAATAGCTTTCCTTATCACCTTCATTTTAATACCTCAACATTAGTATAATTCCTTTTTTAGTACCTATATGTTTAAAATTGAGATCAAACGATCCAAGATTCTTCGATATACTTGGTGTATTCTCGGTCGGTGACGTTTACCATTCCGCAGCTTCTCCCATTTACTCCAGCCTGACTGATCCCCTAAATCAGAATATTCTCTAGTTCCTGGCCTGGAAAAGGAGGAATAGCAGGATCTTTTCCCTCGCGGGGCTCGTTTCACTCGGACCCAAGCTCCTCGTCCCTTCCGTTGCTACCACTTAATGACGCCCGGACAAGTACACGTGGAAATGGAACACGTACAACCTCGCAATTACAGCCGGGGGGGTCAACTCGGTGGTGCTCACTCTATGTACTATTAGTCGGGCACCGTGTTTACCGGCGTTTGCGCATGACGAACGACCACCGGTCGTCAGCGCGCAATTATTATCGCGAAATACTTTGTGGAGCCGCGCGGACAGGTTGTTCGACCCCTTTAATGAGACTCACTCTCTGTCCCTCTCTTTGAAGGCCCGCGAACGCTCGCGATAGCGAACAGTTTACGAGCAACTGCTCGTCGAGGACTCGTCCGACGATCGCTCGCAGATCGATACACGTGATACTTCGAACTTCCTCCGTTTACCATTTCACTACGCTAATGACTCTGCGTATCTACCCGCTGGGTACATATCCGCTTGAAGTCGTTACCACGTGTAAACAAATATTTAAAGTTTCGACCAATTAATTCTGGAACATCCTGTATGGATGGCTTATGAATCATATTCGCGGAATGGATTATAGTTTTGTGTACGGAACAGTGAGCGAAACTTTTTTTTTTTTGTTTAAATGAAACGAGAAATTTGATCGAGAGATCTCCGCGGGCAAATCCAAAAATCCTCAGTCACGTGAAACATATTGACGAACATGAATGGCTGCGTAACTGGAGGCAGTCTGTAAATATTGGTTTCAATAAAAACTGGTTCGAGTCGATACCGTATAGTTCAAAGCGAGCTGATCAAGTAAACAAATCAGGGTCGTCTAAAAGTTCTCAAATATATACATTTCTGATAGCCAATCAATCACAAACTTTAAATTAAATTTTAATCTTTGTAGAGCAATTGGAATATAACGATTACCGTCGATTGTAAATTATCTCAAAATCTTAGGCCCTGCAATCAAAATGTTCAATTATGCAGCCGGAAAAAACTTTTCTTAATAGAAAATTTGTATTCGATTCATCTATTCTAAAACTATTCTTTTATATTGTTTCACCTTTGTTCCTGAATTTCAAATGGATGCAGTAACGATAATGGTAATAATTGTGTCTGCCAAGCTCGAACCGTATTTCGACCGACAGTCCTGCAGAGCATCCCCAGTTCTGACACTGAGATATTGGCGTGAAGTTCTTGACTGCATCTGCGGGCATGCAGATGAAAGTACCGTCCAATACACCGATCCGACCACGGCCATCTGGACGTTACGCGTGCATAATTAATCTAATTCAACGAGACATTTCACCGAACGCGACGTTCCCCGAAGCTACCAATTGTCTCTGTTTCGTTCTCTTTGGGACGTTTTTTATCCTCTATGGAACGCATCGTAGCACTTTAATCCACGGTAATCGATAACACAATGGATAAACTGATCGATATCTTTGACGTTACACGTGATCGACAAACGTTCCGAGTCACCTCGAACACATTCCGAAAATAATGATAATAACACTGTTCCCGTTTAAATGCATTTTTATAATACATTATCGATGGTTCTTTCATACACCATAATGCCAGAGCTTCGTGATTAATTAATTCTCGGAAATGTAATTCAAGATTACATGGATTTAACATTTCGTAGACGTTCAATTTATAATCGTTCATACATATTTCATGTATTTAACCATTGAAATCCTTATTTCCGAGGATTAACCCGTGTGCTATGAATTATTTGAATAGAATTAAGTGTAACGCCAGTATCAGTTTGATCGTCGTTAATTTAGACATGCTCTACGAAGACTGACATTTCCCCGAAATACAGAAGTTATAATTTCCGTTCTTTAGAAACAATTGATCCGAAGGAATTGCGTTGGTAAGAAAAAGGACGAGTTGAGCGAGTGACTGTCGACAAATCAGATGCAATTCCGGCGCGAAGAAATTCCTAATTGACTCTGCGAAATCATTGTGTTATGTTACGAATGGGAGCGATCGTTTTACGCACGGTCGTGCCACAGAAATAAATCTGACCGAATGCATTAACTCCTTGTGATTGATATTGGTAGGGAATCGTCGTGTTGCCGATTTACGATTGGTCGAGTCCGAAGACAAACTGAATTGGCCGTTCAAGGCAAACGAGACGTTCTCACAATCATACTTTACGCATTCTTTCGCGCAACAGTGGGCGGGGTGAACAATCAAGGACCCTGGTTGGCCTAATTCATACTGGCTTTGGGCGGTTAATTGAAGTTTATACGATTAATACGGGGTACAAATAAACTGTAAGTTAAAATTTGTAAACTTGACCGAGTAGTATTGAAAGGATTTAAAGTTGTAGCGAGCATATCTTAAGAAATCAGCAATTAATGTAACTGATTTGTCCATTGTCAAGTGAATGGTCCTTTCAAAATGGTGGATGTTCATTTCGAACTTCGATTTTTAAAACTATTCTAAACATGGGCGTAGCCAGGGGGGAAGGGCTCCTGGATGAAAACGTGGATTTTGCCCTACCCTAGAAGAACAAAATTGAATTTTAAACATATATTCACTAAAACTGTTCTTTTTAATAACTTCTATCAACCTCTATAATTGGTACTTACAATTTATTTACCCTTGTAGAAAGCCTTGCGCCGCTATTCCCTAATCGGAACGATTTAATTATCCCACCACAAGGAGTTGTACACAACCCCGAGACGCGATTTGATCGTAACGGCGGTACAATGGTACTTCCACGTAAGCGTAAGCTTGGGCATAGGATTAAATGGAAAGTGTGCTTTCTCGAAATGATCGCTCGAGTTGTGTCCTAATCGTCGTCGAAACTGCCTAATTCATTCCATTGCCGGGTCCGTAAACGAAATACAAAAGGACTATTTCGCCACTTTCCGCGTGTGTGTGTGTGTGTGTGTGTGTATATACTAATGTGTGTAAAATGGTACCGTGGTTTCTGTGGATCAGGCCGCGTCCATGTTTCCTCTCGTACTTGATGAATGTGTGTTTAGACTTTACCGGGGGCCCCGAGTCATGAACAAATTACGTTCCATTTACCATATTTTCGTATCTCGTACAGCTCTCGGTTGTACAGGATAAGAACGCTCCCCGAAGTGTTTTTATCGTAATAAGGATTATTATAAATGTAAAGAATTAAAAGAAAAAAAAACAAACTATGTTTGCGTGTCACGATATAAGCGTTAAGAAAACCTCTTTAGGGAACGTAGGCGTTCAAGACGATTTTCTTTTAATAGATTCTAGACGATATAGAAACCGTTTAACGATGGATAAACGACCGTAACAGATTGCGAACGTTTGATCATGTCTTAATTCCTTTGATACTTTTTATTATACACACATGCCGTCTTTTTATTAATCATCGTGTTATTAATAATATTAATTATGATTATCCATATGGTTACTATTTAATATTCCTATTAACGATTGGAATTATAGTTACGTTTCGCTGTTATCATTTATTCATTGCGATCGTTGTAACCACGATTATTTTTCTACGAATGTTTCTACCGCGTGTAACACGCAAAAAAAACATGCCCCACGTGCAACTGAAATTTCGTTCCCCGTTTCGATGTAAAAGGTTTTCGGCCGACTATAATTTATATGCCATGTCAATGTACTATCATTGTAAATATTATACATATTTTATAAATGAAATATTTAGCGTGACTGTAATATTATGAGAATGTACTGAAAGCACCACTCTGTACACTCCACTACGATGGTTAAATTTTAATAAATACTTCCCAACCCCATTCCTGTGTTTCAATGAACGTGTTTTATCGTATGGTCAATCGTGATAAAGAAGAAATATGTTCGACAATTTTTCCAACAGCTTTTTTTTTATTGAGAAAATAACTATTATATCAGCACCTCTGTAGTCTCTTAAAATATTACGAATATTGTCAATTATTTGGTTCCAACAGGTTTCGATATTTTATCTTCTTTGGTTACTTTCTTCAATTTCGTTTGAGCGCTCTCGCCATATCTCGCCAACAGCTCTTCCACGAAGTCGTCCTTCAATTTCTTCAGGCATCTGGAATGATATTGCAACAGCGAAACAAGTTCATGCAATTACATCCTGTAGTATCATTGACGATCTTCCAACACCTTATATAACGCGCTCCACTGTCATCACAATCTCAAGGGTATCCACAATTTTTAATAATACGTTTCAGAAGAAATTCTAATTCTCGAAAAATCTTCGCAAGGATGAAATTTTATAATTCTTTACATCATAATTCTTTCGATGAACGAGTTTCATACATTACCTCCTATAAATAGAGTCAGTCCTGAACTTTCCGATGTCGAGACTAGGAGCATGAGGTCGATGGATAATGAACGTATCCGGCAAAACAATGTACCTATATAAATCTTCTATTTATGGCATTGCACTATAGTGACCGATGCATTCATATCATTAAACTAATCGCTCGTGAAATGGTCTCTTACTTGTAATCTAATACTGTTAAGTGTGTCACATAGGAAACCTTGTTCCATCCGAAACCAACGAACCTGGTGTCGTACCTAGGGGCCAATCTCGAGACCACGATGTAGGGCTCGAAATCTGGTTCCCACGAGACCTAGGATCACATTAACTTAATCGTTTACAGTTCAGGGACACGGCAGAAGCCTCTTTACGCCCACGTACTTCGTACGGTTCCATCGTGTTGCGCCAATAACTGTAATTTGTGGCGGCATGGCCTTGGGTCCACACATGGTACCGGAAAGTGTACAGAACACCACGTTTTAAGAACTTCAACAGCTCATCCTTATCAGCCGGGAACGTGAACCTATAAAGTGTACACCCAGCGCGCATTTGATTCGTATTGTTTTCACACAAATGCACGAGAACAGCTTGCTTCTCACAGTTCTGACACAACTCGAAATGTCAACCATTACAATTTATCTCGATTCTACAAAGTCGAATCTTTATAACGCTATAAAAACAACTTGAAATATTTTACGTCCTTCGTAATAACAACAGGAACAATAGAAACCTTAACATAAGTCGACCATCTATTCCTCACAACCTAATACAATAGGCAGTTGATACCCATTAGATACATCTCACGCATTCGTATCAGTACAAAGCGAATCAAATCAGCCGACATTGTGTACCAGACGTTGAGGATTGTTGTTAGAGAAGAAAAAATACCTGTAACGTTCAGTCTCGAACGCGGGAACGATCAAAGCTACTCTGTCCGACTCGGTGATATTCAATTTCCCGATGTAATTCATAAGGCTCTCGTGTAGCCCGTATTGCGGCAGAAAATCAACGTCCAGTTGAAAAATGAACGGAGTCGATACGTATGACATCGCGATGTTTCTCAAATAATTGATCGGATACAGGTCCTGAAGGAGAAGACGTTTCGGTTCATTGAAGTAACACTCTTGGCATACTCCGATATCCAATGTTGCTATTCGATCGTAAATCATTCGAAGGCCACGGAAAAATAGTTCAGAGACACGCACCCCATCTTTGTAGACAACGTGATACGCGATGTTCTTCCTCTTTCGCAGCTCGACCGAGCGACGCACGAACTCGAGGAAATTCTGCACTTCAGCATCGGTGAGGTAAAGTGCGACGCTTATGGTGCCTGGCCAGTGTTTCGATAGGTCTTCCAGTAACGGTATTCTTTCCACGCTACACTGAGTTACTAGAGCAACGTCCGCCTGCGCGTAAACATTATATTCGTATTCCAGAAGAAACGGATGAGTGCGGTACAACATGGTCGCGCCTCTTGTGAAATCCCGACATGGACTCGATTCGTTGTACTGGAAATTAGAAATTGCTTTTCTACTGACGATGAAAAACTGGGCGGGAACAATTTGTCGGAGCTATGAACCGTCTTGTGCAGAGGATGCGCGCTGTTGATCATGAGTCTGACATTATCCTCAGTTAAATACTTCGTTGTGTAATTATAAGATTTATAATCCAAAATGGGAAAGATCACAGCGCCCTCCGAATGATTTGATCACCATGCGATAATGAAGATCCTTGCATCTCTGTATCCTTAAACTCAAGACTTACAACTAAACCCTAAAATTAGAAGACTTACTTGGGACACGGTTTCATGTTTATCACAACCGAACAAGCGTCTGCGTAGCAGATTCCCGTCCATTTCGAGGAAGATCTTGTGCAACTTGCGGAACTCGTTGATATGCTTATTATATACATCTTGCTTGCGAGGTGAATTCCAATGCACGATCTAAAAGGTAACCCAATAATGCAAAAACACATCGATTCAATAGAGAGGGCTCGCTCGGTTGAAAACCTTCACGTACATTTATCTGACTAGTGTCGCGGTAACAATGATCGCTGATCGTGTGATCGCTCAACTGTATATTCCACGTGCACTCTATTTTATATATAATAGAGGGATGCTCTTTGATAACAGCGTTTATTATGTCCTGATCGGCTAAACTAGTCTCCGGTATGCGGGCAAGCACACGCTTGGTAACTGTCTCCCAGAGGGTCATAAATTTTCTGTTACGGAGTTGCTGCAAGTGCATTAACATCACACCGGTGTTAAAGCCTCTGCCCAGAGCCGGCCACGGCCTTTGGCCGTAAGATAGAGCCTTTATGTACCAATGGCTCTGATTCTCCGTCAATCCTAGGGCCTGATCGTTCGTGAATTTCTCGAACAACCGCCAAAGCAAACTGACGTCGTTTAACACGGTTACGTCCGTGTCGAGTACCAGTACCTTGTCCTCCCGCATCGCATCCGGCAGAATTAACTTCAGGAGACCGTAAACGCCGGAATAATGTTTGTTCGGTATCCAGGAGACCTTTGGCACCCATCGTTCGGCCTTGTAATACGTTAAGTTCACTGGAACGTGCACGGGGAAAAAAAAAGTAGTCGACCCACGGATGACTCTCTGGTGACATTATTAGCTCCCATCCGTTCCTCGGGTGAGACGATACGCGAGATTAATTAATTGCTCTAATTTAGTTCGCTCGGTGAGCAACGGCCATTGTTAGAATCAGGTCGTCACGTGAGTCGAAATGTATTCCAGGCCGTCGCCAGCCAGGGTGAATAAATAATGCAACGAGGGGTAATATCGTTCCAAGTTTGGTATTAAGATCGACGAGAGAAGAATTGAATAGATTGACGTTAAGGAACGGACGAGAATGATAAATCACGGCTGACTGTTTACTAACCATGAGGTAGATCCCATGTTTGAAACAGGGTCGTCAGAGTTCGTTTTGCAAGCTCGTCGACGAGCAAGTGAAAATGCAAAGGTTTAGTGCGGTAGAATAAAACGGATTTCACTACCGTCACCAGGGCGAACGTTGAATTGTATCCGGCGCACACCATCGCGATGTGTATGGTCTCGCATTTTGGCTTGAAAGGAAATCAATGCCGATTATCGTTCAGCAATCCTGAATACTTCTGATAAGATCCTGAATTAATATTGCTGCATGTTTACCTCGTTTCGATCACTTTCGAAATAGAACTCTCGGACATTAGGTTCCTCAACGCGTAAAGTCGTTTTCTCATTCGCAGACAACGAGCCCGATTTCCCATCGAGCTTGAAGGAACCGATTTCAGCTGAAGGAACTACAATAATACCGTATAAGAACTCCAATATCATCGAAGCCACTTAAAAGTGTCGTGATGCATTACCGTTTAACAATAAATACAGGTAAAAGACCGCTGATGGTACTAGAACGCCCAACAAACATCTTAGCCATGATCGAGCCATTGCAATATGGAAGACATATTTCCCAACTCGTAGAATGATTAGCGTGTGAACTTTATCGTGTAAATGCCAATATCTACAAATAGAAACGTCTTCATACATGTAAAACACTTCACATGCTATCATTTACATATTATTAACATTTTATTTCTTTGTTAATTGTCACTCGGAAAACTTTATGGTTTAGAATAAAACTCGGTGAATAAACTCTGTCATGTGCCCGATAGCACATGACGCCCAATGACGCCTTGAAAACGGCTAAAAGTCTTCAAGGCGTCATGTGCTATGTGGAGTATACCATGCAGAAAATGATACATCTAGAGTAGATAACGATGTATGTAGTGCGATAGTAAACCCAGAGAGGCTATAAAGAGAAGTTTGCATACAGCGATTAACAATCTTTCTTCCCAATTATTATTATATCATACCCTGCATCTACTTTTTAACTTGTGTCATATTAACAATTCGACAGACAAATGAGTGAAGGCAAAAGTTCTGTCGATTTCTTCATTACCCACCAACGGATATGTTCTTGTATATTGTATATGAATTCAAATGCATAGAAAATTACAAAATATACGTAGTTCTATGCAATAACAACAAAAACTCTGTTATTACTTAATTAATCCTACCAATTACTTAAAAACCGACAAAACTTTTGCATCCGTTCTACACAACCATAACTCCCGCTTCCCATTCAAACGAGTGACACAATGATCTGCCCTACCCTTCTCCAAATGTTGACATCTGCCAATTTGACACACAGTGCAAACAAAAGCGAAAGATCGAATGTTTATTTTTCTGATTGTCGAGTCATTGATGAGTCGATCGAAATTATCATAAGATACTCAACGTTAGCGAATAAATACCTCTGGTACCGCGACTTTTTTCTCTGACTGTCATCCAATTACATCCATTCCTCCAAACCGCTGCGGCTCGTGGGTGATCCAGAATCTTACACGTGAATATCTACGCACGAATTAGCCTAAGGTAGCGGCACACGTTCGCGTTTCAATGGATCGTCGTTACGTCTGGCAACTCTCGCCGTAAACCCAGCAAATTCTTTTAATTACGGTAACCGTGAAACACAACGTCGGGACAGCACGCATTCTAACACCCAAAGCAAGAAGTCTAACGTAAATAGTTTAATCACTGAATGACGCGCTGGTAGAATTACCACTCGGTCCGAGCAACGAGACACGAACCGTCGTACTGTCGGTAACTCGTAACGTAGTTACTTAGTTTTGTTACGAGAGGGCAATCTCACTTCAACAGACTGAAGTTGGCCGCGTGTATTGCAACGGTCGGAGCTTTTTTTCAAACCGCTTGTGCTCGAAACAGTACGATGCATACTGTAACGGTCGCGGGAAATATTTTTGTGACAGTGCGAATAATAAATATTACAAGTGATGGGTATAATGGTTTATTTCTTTTCAATGTGTATTATGACGATTTCATTTGATAACCCGGAAAGTTTCGTCAACACTATAATACTGACAATGAACGTTGCAACCTAGGAGACTGAGCGGCAAACGCAAAACTTCGATAGTTCCGTAAGTACACAAAGCTTCAATTAATGTACAGTATTCGTTTAAGTCAGGAGTAGCACAATTTTTAATTAAATAATAAATAACGAATACAAATGATGCATAATGTTTTATTTTGTTACTTGAAACTTTGTACTTAGATAACATATTTGCTCATTCCTGATTTAAACATTGTGTTTTATTTCAATTTTACAAATTTACTTTTTACAAGTCATTCTTTGTTTTGTAACAGTATAATATTGCAAAATATTAAAGTGCACATTGTCTGGAGAGTCAATAAGCTCCATTTTTTTGTGTCATAATAAATACAATTTATGTTGCAAAAAGTAGTTTAAATAGAAATAATGGATTTCCATTATTGTAATGTATATATTGGCTTAAATTAACTAATTATGTTTTAACTACAAATACTTATTTAAAATACATATAGTTGTACATATTGACATGAGGAAATGATAGAGACCTAATGTGTGATGATATGAGGCAAGTTATAAAAAACGTTTTATAAAAAAAATGTATTTAATACTATCTAGTTGATTTCTGTTGCTTTGCTTGTATAAGGAAGAGGCTCTTCATCTTCTCCAATTTTCTTTAATCTTAGTAATTCTGTACTCCTGGCTCTATAAAAAAATTCTAAGTATTAGTATTCAGTTACCCTAACATTATGGCAACATATTAATTTTGATAATTTTATTCATAATGTAATACCTAGATAATGCTTCCTCCTGCTCACGCTGTTCTTTTTGCTTCTTTAGAAGTCTGATTGCCACAAAAACTATTAGAACCAGAATTGGTATTAGGCAAGCAAGTATTATACCACTTGTAATACCAGCTTGACGTGAACTATATTCCTGTTGACCTGTGATTTTTAATGAAATTAACAGTATTAATATATATATATAAGAAATAAACGCACATGTAATAGTCACACAACAAACAGATTAAGAATTACTGTGTTAGTGAATAGATTCAAGAATAAGGGTATAAAACAGTTTTGGACCATAGTTGGATAGATTATGGATAATTGTAAATTTATTAAACAACTGTATAATTATGAAAACAAATAAGTTAGAAAGAATGAAGGTGAGAGGATAAAAGTAATAGGGCAATGATGACAATAACTCTGGTGGAAATTTCCATTCCACTATGATAACTCCAACCAATGTTCTAAGTATTTGATAAAATTTTTAAGCGAATGCATGTGGAATAGAAATTTCCTGAGTAATTAAAGGTGTAAAAAAAACATTTATTGAACTGTATTTTGTACATTAATTAGGAAGCATTTCATACAACCATACTACATTGAACTTCATTATTGAATTTATAAACTTCATTACTGTATTTCAATGCACTAGAGGTTTATATTGGTTATATTTTACAAAAGTACAAACCTGACTTCTGATTCAGCGATACAGTGTTCAATTATACTGTTTAATGAACGGAATTCTCGTGAATGGAAACATTTCTATTCCACAGCAAAAATAAAAGTAATTTACACGCGGTAAAAAACAATTCTGTACATTATATGCTCTACAATATGAACATTTCATATGAACTTCCATTAATTTCCTGTCGAGCGAACTCGGTTTTTGTGGAAATGATATTCAATTATGCTCGTTGCGCGCGATTTAACATGAAATTATGACGAACGATACAAATACGAATACTCTCGAAAATCGAAGAATAAAATGCTTATAAATACTTGTCATGGAAGATACGCGCTTCCAATGATTTTAATGTCTAAATGATTGAAACTTCCAATACGTCAAGAGTAGTATAAAAAGTGTTAAAACATATGTATTTCAAAAAGGCCTTCCAAAAGAAATTTAACTCGTCATAAAAATATTTTTTATCGTTCAAATTTACACGATTTTTCAGTTTTTTAAAAATTAAAATATACTTTATCGTCTATATTAAATTTATGTTTTTTTTTTAATTTCAACGAAAACTCTACTTCGAATAGAGGGCTACTCGTATCAACTTACGAAATATTACTTTGACATAATTAATGAGATCCAAATCACAAATAAACGAATGTAAATTCTCAATTGAAAGAGGGTGGAGCATGGTTCTTTTCGTGACCAATTGTTTATTATGGATACCAAACTATCATCTATTTTGTATTTCCTAAGCAATTCTATACGTCGCTCTCTTTGGTTGGACTTCCAGCTTTTCGAATCGACTCTGTGCTCTTTTCCGAGTCGGTCGGGGAATACGGTTCTTTAATGTCCCAATCTTTATCCTCGAAATCGATATCCGGTTTATTCGCCAGGGGCTCTTGGGTACGGTACACTTTATCATAGCTACGACGCTTTTTGCTAGTGCTCGGCGTCGTGCTAGTATCGCTGACCGGTGAGACCGCTCTTATATACGGTTTCAATGGTGTGCTCTGCCTCGACAATATCGGATCATTGTCGACGGCGGAGCCGCGCTCGGAATATCGCCACGATTTTACAGAACCGCCCTGCGCTTGACTCTTTCTTACATAGAGAAAGGCCCCCGCGACACATCCGGTTATGGGAATTAACACGGCGCAAATAATACCCATTGTCGTCCATGCTGTACGCTGGGCATACTCGACCTGACCTATATTTATGTAATACCAAACAACTTTTATTTTCCACTCTGTGCTCGAAGCGGCAGTGATGATAGGTATCCGGTTAATTAGGAATTTCGATGTGTGAAAGGAGGAGTACAAGGGGAAGAGGGTATGTAGGGGATATAAAGAATGATTAAAATAAAAAAAGAGGGAATACTGAAAGTAGGAAAGTAGAGTGCGGTAGATGTATGAAAATGTGACCTAGATGCACACACACTGCTCAAAGTATTTAGAACAATTGTTCAAGTAATATCATCTAGTCGGTCAATTGATACTATAAAGGTGCGTATCATTGTATCGTAATCACCAAACGATACGCAACAAGTGGATACGCACTTTAAAACTTTTGTCAGATAGTTTCAGGCGTTTTTAAAAACGATCTAGAGTATTTCTCTGATTACGACCTAACGAAAGCTTGATATTTATTCTCGGTAGCTGATGTCATAACTACATTGAGCATTATGTTGTCTATCCACTACGAAAGTATGTCATGTCATAACTCTGCTTGTGATCGGGTTATTTTTTAAATACTTACGTAGACATTCCGTGTATCCGTATTCTGGTACATTCCAGCGGCCATCGGGCGTGCAGACCCGTCTTTGGTCGCCCACCAGTATGAAATCCTGGTTACACTCGAACGTCACCTTCGTGCCCGGCGTAAAGAAGAAATTACTCTTACGACCGAACCGCGGTGTCTCCAGTACACCGCACGAAACCACTGTAATGAATAAAATGAGCCATAAAACAGGTGAACTGTGATATTCAATATTGTTCACAAATGTCTGCGCAACAGTACCTGGATCGTCTTCGTTTGTGTATCTGATCTGCGTGTAGGAATCGTAATAATTCTTCGTGAAATGAGCCAAGTCCCTATTGAGCGACATCGTGTAGTCATATTTACATTGATAGGTGTCTCCACAAAAATCGTGGGCTCGTTGGATATCGTATGATCTATAACAAAAGAAGGTAATATACATTTTTTCAAAGATAATTGGTGAATTACTCGATTCATAGCGTAACGATAGATACCTGTTAGAGGGTAGTATCTCTTCAGGTGCTTTACGCCATTCAGGCTCGAAAGTCCTGTTCGCGTAGTAACTTGCGGTTCTGCCGAATTCTCTAGTAAACAGAGCGCCGCCTTTTAAGTCGTCCTCCTTGTCCTCTAGCATCCATTTTATCCCGAACTCTTTGTGGAGATTCTCGAAATGGTTCAAATTGCTCGCGGACACTATTTGACCATCTGGACCCATTAAATCATCCGTGAAATCGTTGTTCCATTTTCCGAAAAGTCCTGCGGTCTTGTTCTGGAATAAGTCGAAACACATTACCATCGATCCTCCACATATTTCGGTACTCGATCAAGCCAATGTTATTGAAAGTCAATCGGACAGTTTGAATCGTACCAAATAGGTCCAAGGTAGATACACCCTGGCCGACATGAATCCCTCGTTTTCGATCACCTCCACGCCTGCACCGGTGTCGAACATGATGATCACTTCGCTCTGGTTCAGAATGTACGTCGGTGTGTAGACGATCACTCCGGGAAAATGTTGGAACTTCAAGGACGGTCTGTCGAAGTATACCCGTCGGTTATCCGCGAAAACATCTAAACGGTACCTCCACTGAGAGTGTTTGGGTCTCAACCGGACTTCTATGGGAACGGAGTTATTGCCTCTTGCTGTGAAACAAATTCAATGGTACATTAAATTAACCCTATAAATTGATTAATGTTATGGTATATTGATTAATCCCATGAAGAATCGTGAAATTTCTATCGTTGCATCGTTTACCCGCTATAGAGGTCAGCTGCGTGGCTCTAACTTCGCCGTACATGTTGTCTGGCAATTGTTCGAACCTTGCCTGTACATCGAGCTTGTCCCTCGCGTGGTTTACCCGCACCAGAACGAACTCCCCTTTTCCGTTAAAGGTGTACTGTAGATTATCGAATGTCACAATGTGGGGATCTCCAAACACCGTCGCCACGGCTGGGGACTGATAAGCCACGCAGTCTTGCGTCGGACGTCTCTCGAATCTGAAGGTTTCGCAACCGACCGCATGCTCCTCTTGCCACATGCAGCACATGTAGAAAGGTAGCACGTCGTGGTACCAGTGAGAAAGTGTTGGAACCTTGTTCGCCTCGTCCCAAGGGTAGTATCCCAAATTGTGGGATCGATGTGGTCTCGAGCCCCATTGCTGATCGTAGGTCAACATCAGGAAGCCGTATTTATCGTAACAACACTGTTGTTCAGACCCGTCCATGCTACGTATTGTAATAGAAAACATCGATTCACAATAGTACTGGTCATTTAACAAAGTTATCACATGTTCTTAGCAGCATATCGCTCTGAATGGCTGCCACGATTCATGTTGTTGTATCCACCGGCAGAAAAATATCAAAGATAATCTTAATGTACATAAAAGTGGCTATCTTGTGAGCTACTATGAAGCAGTAGTAAGATTTTTTCCTAAAATGGCAGCCATATAAAGCAATACCTCGTTAACGGCACTACTTGTTACTTACTTTGGTGCACCAGTTCTCACACAGTGATGGGCATGTTGATTGTAAGTACAATCCAAATTCGAGTCTTTGTCGCAGTCATAATCCGGAAGGAATCGTCCCTTATCAGTTAGAGCGTGCTTCAACGAGCACGGGCACAGGGATATCTCAGCCGCGAAATTTTTTAAGTATCTATCGTTCATAATCCACCTATCGCATAATCGATGCGGCCATTTTGATCCGTACATCCGCTCCCATTGCGGACCAAAGTACCAAGCCAATGGGACTGGTCTGCTCCATAGAGTCCTGTAAAGAATCGACACACGATTATTCAGCGGTAAAAATAAAAAAAAACAAACAATGATTTTGTATATATAATCTACTCACGGTGTGATGTTAAGGCCAGAATATTGTTGAGGTTCGGTTAAATTCAGCTGAATGAAACCGAACATTATGTCCTGTTGATACAGATTGTTCTCGTCACGGTATTTAGCTGGTCTGATAATGTAGTAGCCGAGATTCGTGTACGATTTCTGTAATTTTATTAGTGAAATATGCATTCTTCGATGTCCATTTATAATTAACATAGTAACGTGTATTCTTTATTGACCAACCTCTAAGGTAGCGATGTACTCGAACTCCGGCGTGGTCTTCTTTTCGCGGTATCCCCACAAAGCGATTTGTAATCCAGCATTCAAGTTACTAGTCAAGTTATACCGATCCCACGTGATTTTAATTTCAGCAGGTTCGCGTTGGTGAACCGCGTCGTCAACGAAGATTTTCTCAGTCGCCGTAGCTGGGGTTTCTTGATCGTATATTCAATAAAAATTAATTCCACGACCTTGTTGATGAATTATTAATCACGTCAATAGTTAACCGATTTCATCTTACCAATGAAGTATTTTCCCTTCCAATTGTAGACTTTACTGTCCCCAATACTAATGGCGAATCGGATATATCCCTGTGCTTTTACGAACGGCTGAATGCACACAGCACGATTTTTATCGATCACCGTACCCATCACCATCTCAGTTTCGAACATACATCGAATCTTCTCGACTTCGTTGAAACACGGACCGGTGATGTTAACGATGGTGCCACCTAACATGTTTCCGCTTTCGGGCGCAAACATCAGCGGCAAGTTCGCTCCAGCTGTAACATACCAGAAGTCTCAGTGTCTTTGGTCTTTCAATTTCTTTCTTATTCTTTCGTCGTCGTTCGAAGTTTACCGATATCCTTGTTGCACGTTCCAAGCATAATCTTCTCGTCGATCCTGAAGATGTGACGTCCTGGGAAACCGTTTGCCCAACCACGGCCCGTTAAATCGCGAAGCGTCGACATTTGGGAGTACGGCTTGTATTCGTAGCTTTGGGTACCGTTGCCAGCGTTGAAGCCGACCTAAATGACAATTAAGTAACATTGGCATTGTAACAGTTAACATGGAGATTGTGAAAAATTCAGAAAGTATGGGTCTCGGATCTGTGGTATAATCCTTGAACGATACGAACGTTGTTCTGATGATTTCAATGCATGGTTATGGGTACCTACTTCAAACTCACAAGGGAACATATCGAACCCAGATACATCGATTTTAATGCCGTTTGTATGGGATATAGTTTACGGAAAAATATTCGACACGTACTGTTTTGTATCAGCAGCCGTCCGTATCGAAGGAGTGGAAACAGCCCTTAAAATTAAGGGCTGAAAACATATTTTTTGAAATATCTCGGGAACTGGAGGGTACAGTAAAAAGCTTTTGATTTTACATTATGCATTTTTGAATAGGGAATTTAATCATATGAACAATTTTCCAGAAAAATTATTTGTTTAAATAATATTTTAAAAATTTGAGTTTTTTTAGTCAATTTTTCTTGTTAAATGTTAATTGCTTTTCATGTCGATTGTTTTTATATAAACTATGGATCAAAATATACGTATTTTTTTATATGTTCCCTTGTTAGTATTAAATTTGTGCCCTTCGTTACGTAGTACATGTGTCCAACTCTGCTTGTCGATCCTTTCAGGACATACGAAATAGTTTGAAACTTACAAACGCCGGAGTACCACCTTCTCCGCCAGTAGTATCGCCACCAGCTTCCGTGTGACTAGTCCACTGAATGTTCAAATAGTTGAACATCGCATAAGTTGACACTTCGTCGGTGGCCAGAACCATTTGAAAGGTGTTCGTTTTGTAAAGGGAATTATCGATACCACCAGCAAAAGACATATTTTTCCACGTGATTATAGCGGCGTGTTTCGGTTCGAAGGAGTCAGCGCCGATGATACCTTCGCGGATGTCCCATTTGAGACGTTCGCGCATTTCGACGCCGAACTGATCATTCCTGGTTTGTAAATCTCTTTCAAGCCTGAAATATTTCGTCGTTTACCAGCAATACTAATCGGTGATGTTCATGGTTTCGTATATTCGTGAAGAGCAACTTTTCGTACCTAAAGTAGACACCTGGCTGTCTTTGATCTATATCATCTCGTCTAATTTCTCCTATGCGGCATTTACTGAAGAATATACCTATGAAACTGGGATCGTTTTTTTTCGGCCAGTCTTTCACAGGGAAGACAAGGGGGTAAGTGTAGTGTACTGGTGGATCGCTGAATTCTAAGAAACCATTCATAGATATCTGAAAATCGATGCATTCTTTTGAGCAATGTGCAAGAATTATGCATCATGGAAATTACTTTACGGAGATTTTATAATTCATTGTAGACTGTTTGTTACTTAAATAATGCATCCATTTTTATAGTAAATTAAACATGTATTTAGACTGCGGATTTTTATGAATTTATAACATTCCTTAAATAAAGGTTTTAATAAAGTTTAACACTATTTGGGTGTTATTATTAACGTAATAAAGGTTCTAATACAAAATTTTTAATTCTGAATCATTTTAATTTTCAGATATTAGTATCGGAAATTGTAAATTTACATAAAATTCCGCGGTCTAATTATATTATGTTCTAAATATCTACTGATTGAGTGATATTAAGGCGTTGGTTAACGACGTACTCTGGTGTAATTGAATCTAAATCCGAAGAAGGGCAGTTGAAAGTTGAAGTTCTTATGTATCTGCGGTGTCGACGATTGGATGTCTTTTTGGTAATCGCCCAGATTGTTGTCGCCACCTTTATCGAAGTACCAATACATAAACTTCGATCGAATATCCCTCAATCGGGATTCTGTTATGACATAGTTCGAAACTGAATCATCCGAGCGTGGGGCGTACCTGTCTGCTTCCGGTGAATCCGAATCTACGAGAATTCGATATTTCACTTGATGTTTAATTGTACCTGATAATTTTTTATATACATGTTACATGTTTCTTGTACTTGAAAAACATAACTAGATATTGCAACTCTATTCAATAGATAACATACTATATATAATATTTCAGGACAATAATCCTCAGAATTTATAGAATTTTTAATCGAACATCCAACTATCGTTTTGTTAATAATTATAAAACCGGCGATATTTGTTCATATATAAAAGAGAAGATTGATGTACCGAGTACTCATTACGAAAGTCGTGACGACAGATAGCCAATGTGATTCATCTCCGATTCACATTTGAGTGAGTAACTGATAAAATAGATAAGATCTGATTCGTTGGAAGATCTATATAATAAATAATGCTTCCACGCGGTATACATTCCACTAACATTGATACCAAAAAAAAAGAAAACGCACACACGTGTGTTTCACGAAAAGTATAACAATCGCGAGCAATTAACTCCGAGACATCCGACCTCGGAGTATTTCATACGGAAACGGAACAAAAAGAATAGTGTGGTCACGCCCCAATGATATCGAAACACTCACCGTATCTTACATACTTTCCGCTTTTTTCTCCAACTATTTTCGTCGAAATACCTTCGGAATACACGATCTCCTCCTTCGGTTCCGCACCGACGTTGTCGATATCCGTTGGAACCTCATCCCTTTTCTCATCTTCGATCGTTTCCCCTTCGTGATTATTTTCACCGTCGATTAAGTCCTCTACTTCGTTGATGGATTCCGGTGTGTTATTCGCCGACACATCCTCATGAATTTCCGTGTGATGCTGCTCATTGTCGTCCACAGGTACTAAGTTATCCAATCCGAACGCACTTTCGAATGTTTCGTTTTCGGTCTGGGCTGATACACGACTCGTCAGTAACAGCAAAAAGCATCCAAAAACGATTGATTTTGCAAAACTGGGAACACGGTCGAGACGTGACTGGTTCCGCATTTTTAATTAGCCAGGATAGATGATCCGATTTGTCCTAGTATGCCCGAAGAAACTGAGCTTCGTTTCAGGTAACGAACCCTGATAACGGCACTGATATCAGTTGTATTTACGATAACGCGCTTTTATCTTCTTACTACAGGTGGATAAGCTAACATGGAAACTGAAACGAATGAAACGAACGAAGGGGATGGTGTCCTACTTTTCAATAGGGCGTCGATTGATGATGCCCTTTAAAATAACATATATATATATATATCTGAACTCTTAGATCGTTCAAATTGCTAGTCTCTTCGTGCTTTTCTTGTAATCGAAATTAGGAATTGTATAAGCATGGTAATATTATCCTACCTTTGTAAAAGGTACCGATAATTATTCGAATAATAATACGCAAATTGTTGTAATCTTGGTTGAAATTAAAATGAAGTGCCTCGTGTTTTCTGTTGTGATTGATATTAATAATCGACAAAGTTTCAATTTAAGTAAGATGTTTATTGTATCTCTGGAACGTCGTGATATTTACAAAAGAAATATATTTTTTTTTTGTTTTGCATGATTGCATTTAGAGCATTGTAGAAGGTTTGTGTGTTCCGGTAGCCTGATGAATGTGTTACAATAAAACGTACGTAGTATGTATAAGGGGGCCACTTAATTAAAAAATAATTCCGGTAAATCGTTCGACTAATTATAGACTCCTATAGAAATAACGAAATCATTCGAATAAGGTATTATTCATAGACGAACGTCGGAACGATCTTTTTCATTTTATGCTACACGTTTAATATATTATGCACTTGGTTTAAAGTTGCGACAAGCGTGATTTTGATGGATATTTATTAAAACACTAACGTATAAGAAATTGTCAGGCTTAATGTTAACTGATCTATAAATGCACTGTATGATAAATGTACATATGAACACCGATAGATGTACTTGGACAATGCAATACTTCCACTTCTTTCTCTTTGTTCTTTTTAAATGCTTATCCAATCGTCCATTCTGTCGTTTAGAGATTTTTTGAAAAATCTTAAAAGTAGTATTTGTTCTCTTCGTCTTTTTTTTTTTTGCTTTGTACTGCAACCTTATATCTTGTTATACCAATATTGTCGTAAACGTTCGTAACGAAACTATCTTACACATTTTACGTTGCACAGTATCGTAAATATTTCCAATTATTTAGCACGTATCACAGAAGAAACCTACGAAAGACTCAAGAATTCGAGGACACGTAAAAAAAAGAAAAGAATACACGAATATGAAATAATTCTCCTGTAGTTTTCATATTTGCCCTTCGTTCATGTAGTATCTGTGATCTACAGCAGTAATTCGTTTATATCGTGGATATGAACTATACGCTTGATCATTAAGTGAAACATTATTTATAACATTTTATTTGTAATGAAATAATTTGTTCCGACTGAGGTGTGATAATTTTTGTTTCTTTTTCTTTGTTAACATTACGAAGACGAAGAATTATCCCCATTACTGTCTAGATATCCTCCCGAGCCGTTCACAACAAATGATGTTCCCAATCCGTATAAATGACCACAGTATTTCGCATCGTCAATGTTATCCTCGAAGAACATCTACAAAACAAAAAAACATTCACATTGTTATACACAGCATGATGTATTAATTATATTATCCGTTGAAAATTATTTTTACCTCTCGCATCTTAAAGAAAACCATTCCCGTAAGTAACGAATCAGATCCAGCTTGATGTTGCGGTCCCACTCTTTGAATTTCCAATTGTTCCGCTACCTCTTGAAGACCACCTTTCAGATTTTTGCAAGACTTCATTAAGTACTGTGCACACAAAATTGTTTCGTAGTATTATAAAGATAATCGCATTTATACTATATTTAAATAATCATTCGAGCTTACTTTTACGTCATATATCGTTGGAAAATATATCCTAAGAAGTTCAAAGAATTCACTTTCTTCCTGTGGTAAATTTTGGTCTGTAAGAAGTTTCAATAGATAACCGAAATCGTAGCCGGAATGAAACGATAGCCATTTTATATCGTCGACAAGAACAATTCCCGATGTCATTAGAAGTTCAGCGAAATCTAGTGGATCGATACCCTCTTCCTCGTGTTTTTTGAATTGGATACCACTGTTCTGAAGCATGTCTATACTGTCCTGTGCATACATGTCTTCCCTAAGATAATGAACAACATTAAATTTTCGATTGCTCTTTAATTCAACTAATTTATCACATACCAACCGCCAGAACTTACTGTAAGTTAAATTTAAAATTAAATTGCCACGTCGTATAACTACCCCCAGGTGTATTTCCCGATTCATCAAGAAACGTAAGACCGAGTTGAATTATCCGTAAAAGATCTACATTACACCGTAACAACTGATACTGGTAATCGGCACTAGTTCTGAATTCACCTGTATCAAGAATGATTTATAAATAATTGCTGTGTTCTGTGGAAAATTTGTCGAAGACCATATTGAATCGTACTGTATCGTACCGATAGGTCTAGCCACTACTCCTGGAAATTCAGTATCCATAGCGATATACTGATATTGTTGTACAACTTGCCGAATCGTACGGAATTCTTCTTCCAAATTGTGACCCCAGACATCTCTGATCCCACATTCTTCATTACTGGGCATAGTCGCCCCACCCTTCTGCTGCCCTATAGGGTTATTTCCTCCTGAAAAGTTTAGTGCAAACAAACTTGTTACTTTGTAAAATAACAAGTAGTATTACAACAGAAATCAGTATAATTTTTATATTTTTTCAACCTCTACATTTCATGTATTTTATTGGCCTTGTTATGTACATTTTATTCTAGAATTACAAGAAATTAAACTCATTTTAGGTTGATACTGTCTGTAGATAAACGTGGTTTATTTTTCGTAAATGTTAGTTCTTGAATTCGGATACATTGGCACCTACTAACCACAAATGAATTATGTGTTTTCAAATGGTTTAAAAAGTACTTATAATACATTGTTTACTTTCAGGATTCTTTTTAATTCTTTCATAAAAGGAAAATATTGAAAGTTTAAGGTACTTCATTCTAATTTACAAATTTATGTATCAATGGCACTGAGATTATTCTATTTCAACTGATAAATGAAAATAATTATCATTTTACAGAGCCTACTCGAATGGCTCACACAACTGCACCTTCTAATATCTGTGCATTTTTCTGAAATTCTTTGGAAGTGCACACCTTTTCTTGTAGCAACAGTGATTGTACATTTCTTGGGAAGCCCATTGCATGTCCTATTTTAATTTTATTACTTTCAAAAAAAGACTTCAATTACGTATTTCTTCTGGAAGGATGATTCATGTAATTTCATTCAAAATATTTTATCTATTTTGCCATACACTTCCTGCAATACATATGTGCCATATGCATTATTTATAGACTATGTATTTGTAATTCACCTTTGATATGATTTGCACAATTGAATTTTCATCTGACTTGAGTAAATAACAATACAGTGCAATACTTCTCAAGTCCCAAACTATTAAAAGTTCTTGTAACCTTTAATGAATAGCTCGTAAACTAAATGCATCAAAAACATGGTAAATAAAGCAATACACAATTGAAAAAGGTAACCACTTGTATAGATTTATGACTAGTGTAATACTTACCGGTAGCTGAGGGCATAAGGTTAGATATTCCTGTTGTCACCGGGGCTACTTTTATGTTTGATTCCCACTGTCACAGCTTTACCCTCTTCATATCACTGTGGATATCAATATAAAATGTTATCACTATTCAAACAATCTCTATTGCATAATACACACGTATAACTTTACTGACACAATTTGTACATATTGCATGTATGTTAACACGATGGCCGGTATACAAATTTAAATCCAACAGTTGCCAAATAAACATTAAAATTTAAAGGTTAGGAGTCCGCGCAAACAAGTAACACTTGTCATAACGAATATACGATAACTGTAACATCAAGAATGCAATGGTACTATTAAGCACAATCGAAATGAGGAACTCAACTACGCGAAATCGTTCTGTAAGACTTTAATTTCTAAATAAAGCGTTCTATTGGCAAATAGGTTATGTGCTTTAGATAAACAAAAACGTTTTGATCGCGTGAATATAAAAGAAGTGAGTGTCGTAATATACCTCTTTGTGTGCTCGCTTTTCTGCACGATGTTTTACAATATACTATATGAAACAGTAGTTTTTAAACACTTATCGCGCTTTTAAATCTTCTGTCACAGTACGAACAGGTTAAACGAGTTTCCAAACTCAAAGCAGCAATCCGTCTATATAACATCTAAAGTTAGGGCGCCAAAATCGCTAGAGTGGTTTTCTTTCTAGTCCGTGGCGTTGCCAAGAAGTTCGTTTGTAAATGAACGTCAGGAAAATCGAAGATGGCAGGACAGGTATAGGCATAAGACATTATCATCTGAGTCAAAAACAACTTTATCGCATAAAGGCACAGTCGGGCACCAAAAAATAGTTTGCGCCAAATATTAGTGTTTCTTAACAATTTATATCTTAAAAAATTGCTCCCAATTTGCTCCCTCGGAATCTAAAATTGCTCCAAGTTACTTTTAAGTTATTTGTAAGACTTTGTAAAAAGGAAGATAGATGTAACTACGGTTACATAGATGGGATTGGGTTCCATCTAGCTACAGACGAAATATATGAACAGACGTAACATGTAATGTAATTTTCTATCCCATGCTTCGCGGGCGTTAGAAGCCCCCTTACCATTTTAGTGTCAATACGCGACGTTACCGATAAAGCATGAATTCTGAGTATTATTATAACACAAATGAAGTGTTATATATTCCATTCATATTGCGTGTATCTATATGATTTGACGGGAATAAAAATATCCGATGCTTCAGTTTAAGGTTAAGGGATAAATATGACAGTCATAAAACATGAAACGGACAAGTATATATTTTTTCACTTAACTACAAGACAATTTATTCTAAATGCATCGTTAATGGACATTTTATTAATGTTACTTTTTACATGTTCTTGTTTTATTCGTTTTTATATCTTGCCTTACATTTGTATATTTGTAACAGATAAATTCAGAATAGATGTAGTTTCATAAATAGTTTATCAAATCTACCTTTTGGCCGGCGGCTTACAATTTCCCTTGCGGGAATGCCTTACCGTAATGAGCCATCTCGTAGCCGTGGGATTCCGGGAATCGGGTGACGTCACGGCGTGCGAGCGAGAGCGGTAGAACGAGCCGCAGTATCGGTGCTCTCCGTCGATGTGACGCGCGCCTAGGAATTTCGGCCGTCTATGGGGGGAGGTGTGCGAGCGAGAGAGTACGGTAGAGCGTGCCGAGTAGCGGTGCTCTC